TCGCACAGCTGGCTCCAGGCTGGCTTTGCATGGGGCCTGTGTTTTGAGTTGTGGTGGGGTGCTAGGCGCTTGACTGCTTCTGGTCCTGCATGAAAGGCACTGTCACACGCTCAGCTTCAGTGAGGTATCACCCAACCCCAGTGTAACACTCGTTGGCTCCGCCTGGCCCTTCCATCCTCTACTCCACTAACAAGTACACCCATATTCACCACACCTCTGCCTGCTCAGAATGGAAGACAAACAGTCCACACCTTAAATATGTGACACACATTGTCTAAGGAACCTCTATCCTCAACTTCCCTCCTCCCCCCAGAACAGGAAATAGAAGGTTTTAAAAACATTATTTTAGCTACAGCTACTGCTACTCCCTTAGGCAGGACCCTCCCATGATTTGCAGGTGGCTAGAGCTTCCGGGGAGCTCCCAAGGGCTGACATATAAAGAGTAACGCACTAGAGTGGACCACTAGCCTATTGCCTGCAACCTGCAGGGAACTAAGTGCCAGAGAGGAGGAAGGGCTGAATATTTAAAGAAGCTGTCTAGGAATCCCTCGTTCAGAGACCCAGAAAAGTGAAGGGTCTAAAGGTCAAAGTCCAGATCCCTCAGAGAAGTCCAACAGAACTTTGATCCCAAAGTAGAATCTGTGCGTTTGTCGGCCTGAGGACGCGGCTGTAGGTCTCTGTATGTCAGGATACCCCATCTTATTCCTGCGGGCTAATATCTCCTGTTCTCAGGAGTGCAAGTAGGGCGGGACCCTCCAGTACGCAGTACCAGCAAGAGAGATTTAGCAGAACGCTGTTAGGGAGGGCATTCGTTCTTTAACTGGGTTTAATGGTACAACAATACATATGCTAACAACCTCAAGAGGGGAGAGTGGGGGGATGGAAGGTGTTTAACCAGTGTTTTTGATTCTGTTTCTCCCCATTGGTCTGAATTATCCATGACGTCCATACTGCATCACATCAAGTTCAGATCATTAGAGGAATGCCTCTGCTTGCACTGACCAGAGGATGTTTGGATTCTGATGTCAGCCCAGTTCTGCAGCCTGACGGGAATCAGGTGTTGGTCCCAGCATACAAAGAATTCTTCTTTGCAGCCAAACTAGTCTAACATGCAGTTTGTTAACTGGAACTGGAGCAGCAAAACAAAGAAAACAAATGCCTCATTTTCCAGCTTTGTGGGTCAGAGAACTAGAAGTGAAGATTATAATGCCGGACACTGACGCCCTTAAACCAGCTGCCTCAGGAATCTGCCAAGAACTTTGCTGACAATATGTTCCTCATCTTAGCAACGGCTCTAAGAGTTATCACACGTCTGCCCCCCTTTATTCGAATGAAGTTCCTTCTGATCTGACAGCTCAGGCATCAGTTTTGTCCAGAACAATTTACAAACTTGGAACCTAATCCTGTAACCCCTTAATCATTTGATCAATCCCACTGAAGACAGTGAGACTATTTGCATGACTATGGACCACTTTTGTGGGCTGGTAAGGGTTTCAGGAGTCTGTTCCTGTAAAGGAAGTTGAATCCCCCATTGAAATACAATGGTAGGTACAATAGTTAGTTAAGGATACAGTTCTACTTAAAATTTGTCTTTTAATAAGTCACACATATGCTGAAATGGCTCCTCACCCAACTCCCATATTCCACATAAACAGACTGAACACTACATATGAGGGGGGAAGTGAGTAGTTAAACACGTTGATGTTTGTATATACAAAGGGGGTGTTGGAGGGGACGGGGAGAGCGTGGGGGCCCCGGGCTGGGGGCAGGGAGGAGTCACATGAAGGGTCATGTGGGGAGATCAGGTGCCCCCTCGTGTCCCTTTCATGAGTGCAGTACCGGCAAGAAATTATTTCTACTTGCACCACTGCCTGTTCTGGTCCTGTTCACAGCCCTAAAAGCTGTGAGATGAAAGGCAGTGATGAGCTGCTAAAAAATTAACAACTGGTTCCCTCCTCCTCACCCCATAAGGGGGTCGTGGCCCCCCCAACCCCCCAGGACTCCTGCCCCATCCAACCCCCCACGTTCCTTGGTGCCCCGCCGGGACCCCTTCCCTGTCCCCTGACTGTCCTCTGCCGCCCCATCCAACCCCTCCTCTCATTCCTGATGGCCCCCTGGGACCCCTGCCCCATCCAACCACCC